CTGGGACTGACTAACATTCCGGAGGAAGTTGAGCCTTGTAAACCAACCGGAGCAGATGATTCACCCCACCCCACCCCACCGCCAGGCCCTCCTTCCATCGGCCAAGTGCTTCCTTAGCAAACACTGCAGTTGTGGGCCAGACACACCAACCTCAAGTAATGCTTAGACCAGGCAGGAGCCCCCCCACCCCCACCTGTTCTGGAGGAACCCCTACACGGAGCCAAGGAGGAAGCAACATAAGCAGGAAGTAACTTATGTTCTCTTCTATTCCAAGGAGATCTGGGGAGACGCGGGCGTTTCCTCCCCCCCAAAAGGAGCGGGGGGGAAAGGACTGTCAGCGATCCCATGGCGAACTCTGCAAGGAAAGGGCATTGAACGGGTAGCTCTTGAGATCCGTCTCCGGGATCAGGTTGGCCACGCGGCTGGAAGAAGGATCAGGCTCCGGCAGTCCCGTGGATTCCCCTTCGTGCTTTCAGATCGGTCCAGATGGCCCGTAAGAGGGGAGCCTGGTGTCTTCTGTCCCGACCGAGACATCCCCGTTGTCTGAATAGAAGATGCGCCCTCGCGCTCGCCTCCTCCTCCTCCTCTCTCCCCACCCCCCGGCCTCACTGGCCATCTCTTAGTGAAGCTCTTGGCATCCCTGTCACCGGAATTCGTAAATGGGCGCGCTGTACTCAGGGACGTGAGTCAGATTCAGAGATTGATACCTGGGGGGGAGCAAGGGAAACAGGTTGAGCAGAGCAAAAAAGGTGGCCGATTCCGCAGCATGGCAGCAGGTTTCCAAGAGCTGCGGTCTCACAGCATCAGAGCGCCGTGGTGGCGCTGTGGTTAGAATGCAGTATGGCAGGTTGATTCTGCTGACTGCCAGCAGTTTGATTATCACCGGGCTCAAGGTTGACTCAGACTTCCTGCCTTCCGAGGAGGGTAAAATGAGGCCCCAGATTGCTGACTCTGTAAACAGCTTAGAGGGGGCTGTAAAAGCCCTGTGAATTAGCAATTTAATAAATTTGTATGGCGCCCAATCCCGTGGGACTCTGGGCGGCTTACAGCAAGATAAAAATAAGAATTAAAAAATAATGTGAGATATAATTTTTTTAAAAAAA